CACTGGAGGATCTGGGGACAATGGGGGGGGGGAGCACCTGGGGGTTACTGTGACAAACTGGGAGGGACTGGGAGCAGTGGGACGAGAGCCACTGGAGGATCTGGGGACAATGGGGGGGGGGAGCACCTGGGGGTTACTGTGACAAACTGGGAGGGACTGGGAGCAGTGGGACGAGAGCCACTGGAGGATCTGGGGACAATGGGGGGGGGGAGCACCTGGGGGTTACTGTGACAAACTGGGAGGGACTGGGAGCAGTGGGACGAGAGCCTGGGGGGTTAACGAGCTTTTCCCCCGCTGTTCCCCATCTGTGTCCCCCTAATGTCCCCGTGTCCCCTCTGTCCCCCCCGTGTCCCCTCTGTCCCCCCCGTGTCCCCGATGTCCCCGATGTCCCCGATGTCCCCGTGTCCCCTCTGTCCCCAGCTGCTGGTGCTGGCGGCGGCCCTGGGGGAGCAGCAGCGCCTTTGGGGGTCCCCATCGCTGCCCCTGGTGCTCGTGGTGGCCGCTCAGGGGGTCCCGGTGCTGCGGCGCCTGCGGGTGGATATGGGGGGGCTATGGGGGCGTTTGTGGGGTCCCCAGGGGATTTTGGGGTTCCCCCCGGGGGTTATGGGAGCATCTGTAAGGTCCCCGGGGGTCTTTGGGGTCCCCCAGGGGGGGCTATGGGGGCAGTGGGAGGGTCTGTGGGACCCCCAGGGATTTTTGGGGTCCCCCCTGGGGGCTGTGGGAGGCTCTGTGGGGTCTCCAGGGGATTTTGGGATCTCCCCAGGGGGTCTGGGGACTATGGGAGAGTCTGTGGGGTCCCCAGGGGTTTTTGGGGTCCCCCCGGGGGGTCTGGGGGCTATGGGAGGGTCTATGGAATCCCCAGGGTTTTTGGGTTCCCCCGGGGGCATTGGGAGGGTCTGTTGGGTCCCCAGGGGTTTTTGGGGTGCCCCCGGGGGGTGAGGTGTGTTTGGGGCAGGGGGGAGCTGTGGGGGTCTCACCTCTTGCCCCTCCCCAGGAGCTGAACCAGAATTCTGCCCCCGGGCCCGGGGGGTTCCTGGCGATCTTCGGGGCTCTGGCCTGGGGCCCTTTTGGGGGTCCCCTCCCGGCGCTGCTGCTCCTGCGGAGACCCCAGCAGGGGCTGGGGGGAGCCGGGGGCGCCGCCTGTGGGGGGCTCTACGGTGGGCATGGGGGGATCTGGGGGGCACGGGAGCAGATTTGGGGGCATCGGTGGGATTCGGGGTTAATGGGATTGTTTGGGGATTCACTGCGGGAATGGCACTGGGGCGGGTTCAGGGGGAACTGGGGGGATTTGGGGGGGGGCAGTGAGGAGCTCGGGGGGGGTCTCGGGGCAATTCGGGGGGTCCTGACATCCCCCTCCCCTTCCCCCCCAGCTCTGGGCTTGTGGATCTTCCACGGTGCCACCACCCAGAGGAGCCTCTTCAGCCGCGACCCCCGAGACCCCCGTGTGGCTGGTGAGACCCCCAAAGGCCCGGGACACCCAAACCGCCGAGGAGCCCCAAATTTGGGACCCCCCAAACTCCTGTTTGCCCCCGCCCCAGGTCTCCCCACGGTCCCCACGGCCACGGGGCAGGTGCTGCTGGCCGGGGGCTGGTGGGGGCTCGTGCGACGCCCCGACGACCTCGGGGAGCTGCTGATGGCCTTGGGCTGGACCCTCCCCTGCGGTGAGACCCCCCAAAACCCCGTATCCCCCCTGAGCCCCCCAAACCCTGTGTCCCTCCCGAGCCCTCCCAGGCACCTGAGCCCCCCAAAGCCCTTGCAGACACCTGGGTGTCCCCTGAACAGCCCAAACATGCGGGTTCCTGCCCCCTGTCCCTGCCCCACTGGGCGTCTCTCCCTTCCCCAACACCCAGTCCCTCCCAACTGCCCCCCCCAACCTGCTCCACACCCAGGAGCCCCCCAGGCCTCTCCCCGGCCCCCGTGTCCCCCCAGGCCTGTCCCCGGCCCTGCTGCTGCTCCTGGCGGGGGCCGTGCTCCGCGAGCTCCGAGCGGTGGTGGGGGAACGGCGGCAGCGGCGCCGCTTTGGGGGGGCCTGGGGGGGCCTGTGCCAGCGCGTCCCCCATCGCCTGCTGCCCCTCGTCTACTGAGGGCTCCTCCGAGACCCCCCTGCGACCCACCGAGGGACCCCCCCAGGACTCCCCACGTTGCCTGTGGAACCCCCTGGGCTCCCCCCATCTACTGGGGCACCTTCGGGACCCCCCAGCTCCCACCCCCAGCATTTACTGACACTGCCGGGATCTCTCCCATGGACTGAGGGACTCCCAGGACCCCCTTGGGACCCCCCCAGGTCACAGGGGGTTCCACAGCCCCATCGCTGTGGATCACTTGTAATAAAGTCTTGGGGTCTCCTTTCTGGCTCTGTTAATGCCTGTGTTCATTAGTGCCCCCCTTCATTAACTGGTTTTCCTCTTCGCTAATCAGTTCCTCCTTCATTAATAAATGCCCGCATTCATCAGCACCCACTTTTATTAACCAGTGCCCGCGTTTATTAATTAGCACAAGGCGCTTGTTTGGGGTCAGTTTACTCCTGGATGTTCTTTGGCCAGGTCATTAACAAGAAGGGTCTCTTGGTTCTTTGGGCTCTGGTTGCTCCCATCCCTTATTGCACAGCTTTCCCTGGGCCACTTTGACCAGCCCTTCACCAGCTCACACCCTTAATTAATTCAGGATCTCTCCTAATGGAACCTCACCAGTCTTGAGTCCCTCTCCTTGGTGAGCGTCACTCCCGGGACTGCTTTGTGGGCTGTCCTTTAGTCCCAGCTGTAAGGCGCGGTTCTGGGCCTGGTTCCTTGGTCTGGATCAGGTTCTCTCCTGAATCCGCATCCCGGGGCTCTCGTTAACCCCTCCCTTGATGAGTCCTGTTCCTTAGAGCGTCATTTCTCAGTTTGTGGGACCTTGCTTAGTCCCACTCCTTAACGAGCCAGGATCATTCAGTGCCATCGCTTAATGAGAGTCACTGCTGGCAGGGCTTTGCTGGATGTTCATTAGTCCTGTCCCTTAACGAGCAGCTTTCCCAGGCCTGGTTCTCTGGATGTTCATCAGTCCCATCCCTTAACCAGCGGATTCTCTCCCGGGTGTTTCCTTGGTGTCTGCCCATCTCAGTCCAGCTCCTCGATCAGCTGCCGACCCCGCACCCCCTTGTCATCTGGGGCCGGCTGGGGACCCCCAAAAACCTCCTCGGCCCCCTCCATCACCACCCAGGGTGCCCGATCCGCCTGCCCCTCCCTGGGGGGTGGCTGGGGGCCTCCCCAGACCTTCTCCAGCCCCTCCCTGATTTCGGCCACCGCCGCCTCCTCCGCGGCCACCTCGGCGTGAACCCCCCACGCCTCCCGGGCGAGCTGGGCCAGCTCCTCGGTGGCCCCCCGGCTCCAGCTCAGCAGGAACCCGACCTTCCTGCGGGCCCCTCGGAAGCGGCTCCGCTCGGGGGGCGGCAGCGCCCGCGCCCCCGCCTTCAGCAGCCGCCACAGGTGCCACAGAGCCGCCGCCACGTCGGCGCCGGGGTCGCGACTATCGCGACCCTCCAGCAGCTGCGCGACGGCCAGGAGCGCACCGCTGTCGCCGAGCGGGCTCAGGGGCAGCCCCGCGGCTCGGGCGTCGCGCCGGGCGCTCAGCAGCGCCTCGGCCGTGCTGGCGAAGGGGCGGCGGTCGCGGAGCGCGGCCGAGGCGGCGATGGCGGCGTCGGGGAGCTCGGGGAGCAGCGTCTCGTCCCCGCCGTGCAGGCTCAGCGCGAAAGCGTAACCGAAGAGCGCGTTCGGCAGCTGGAACCGCACCAAGGGTGACGGCGGCGCGGCGCGCAGGGCGCTCAGCGGCGGCACCGAGGCTGGCACGGGCGGCGCGGGGCCGGGCCGGCCTTCGCCGCCCTCCTCATCCTCCTCCTCCTCGGCCCCCGAGCCGTCCCCGAGCTCCTCCACTCGCCCCCGCCCGCGCCACCACCACGGCCGCCACTGCGGCAGCAGCGCCGCGGCCTCCCCGGAACTCAGCATCCGCCGGAACCCGTCGCGCTCCGCCTCGCTGAGATGCACCCACAGACCGCGGCCTGTAGGCCGCGCTGGATCCCCGGGCTCGCGTAGATCGCGCAGCCCGGGCAGCGCGGGGACCCGGGCAGAACTGCGCTCAGCGCGCAACGCCTCAAGAACCTGATCGCGGTAAAAGGCCTCGGCGCAGGAGCCGTGGGCGCGGTAGCAGCGCAGGGAGCAGAGGCGGCGGTGGCAGCGCGGGCACGTGTAGGGGGCCGCGGGAGCGCTGCAGAGCCCGCACGGAGCGTCCGGCTCCACTGTCGCCATTTTGGCGTCTGAGCCCGCGCTTCCGGCGCCGCCGAAGCCGGGCACGCCCCGCCCCGCCCCTCCGGGGCCATTGACCAATCAGGGCTCGCAGGCTGGGCTTGCCCGCTCCTTGGTGGCTGTCCGTCAAGCTGGGCCGCCCGGGTATTTCCGTCCCCTGGACACGGTTGTTCCTTTCCCCTGAGAAACAAAA